TCATTTTTTGTGGATGGTTCTTCAGATTTCTTCTGACATTTTAAGCTACAAGTGGAGGCTATAGGGTGAACTTGATCCTTTGAAAATTCACTTGAAAATTAGCTTGATTGGGCTTTATCCCAGGGTTTGGCCATTTTCACTGTGGATAATCCATCACAAGCCACTTAAAAGTGTATATCTTGCCAGGCCATTTATATTCATGACAAATAAATTAATGTTGTATCCATCACAATGGCATGGCCTCTGAAGGAAAACAAGAATTTTGCAAGACTTTATTTATTGCAAAGGCATGAACTTTAGCCAAATTACTACCCAAGGCAAGGATGCCTTCTTCAGATAGAATATGTTCAAAATTTGCCATTTATGAAAAAGTATGGGGTCATTCCATAGGAATGGGATCATCAAAAAACTTGGATTTGGAATCTCCTCATATCTGCCACTCAGCAGAGCTGGCATTGTGGGGAATTTTGATTTGAACATTTGAACACAAGCAGGCCAAGACTTCTAATTACAAGCTTCAAGGTATCATTATTAAATATAGCTATTCTAAATTAAATCAAAATTCTGTCTTTCATACAATTAATCAGGGATGGTGAAGAAGTCCATGACATTGACAGCAATATGAACAAATGCTATGGACATTCACCTATGAGGGAGCAACTTGGGAGATGCTCTTGGAACAGATTGCCAATTCCTTATCCCACATGTCTTCAGAATCATACAATAGAGATGGAATCATACCATGAGTATGGAACCATACCATACCATGGGCATGGAATCATACCATGAGTATGAAATCATACCATGGGGGTGGAATCATACCATACCATGGAAATGGAATCATACCATGAGCATGGAATCATACCATACCATGGAAATGGAATCATACCATGAGCATGGAATCATACCATACCATGGGAATGGGATCATACCATGGAATGGAATCATTCCATTGGGATCATTCCATGGGAATGGAATCATACCATACCATACAGAGATTTGCTTACAACACCCCATACCATACCATGGTATTGCACCCTTATACCATACCATGGTACTCCACTCCCATACCATACCATGTTGTTTGATGTTTGAGATGCTGTTAGTGTAACGCTTTTCCTGATTAGGAAATGGCCCAATTAGGAAATAGTGCGCACATCGTCGTTAACAATGACAACACTAAGCTAGCCACTAACTCTTGTGGCCGAAAGAGCGTGGGAAACATTTCCCAACCTAAATGCGCACTGTGCCTGACATCAGGTGTGGCAGAAAAAAGTGTAACACTTTTCCTGATTAGGAAATGGCCCAATTAGGAAATAGTGCGCACATCGTCATTAACAATGACAACAGTAAGCTAGCCACTAACTCTTCTGGCCCAAAAAGCATGAGAAACAGTTCCCAACCTAAATGCGAACTGTGCCTGACATCAGGTGTGGCAGAAAAAAGTGTAACGCTTTTCCCAATTAGGAAATGGCCCAATTAGGAAATAGTGCGCACCTCAAAGCGCACACTACAAAGTTTTCTAACTAAGCTTGTCTTTTCTAATGAAAAAAGCGGACACTACAATTTTTGTAGCCTTACTTTGGTTAAAGCTATTGGTAAATATATGTAAACAAACTCCGAAATGAGGATTTTCTGCCTTCCTCTGCATAGATTATGGTTCCTGTGATATTTTAAGCATCTATCCCATCAATCTCTTTTTCATTTAGCATAGCCACACCTTCCATATTTAGAAATTCACACTGGATCCTGAGAACAGCATCTCAAACATCAAACAACATGGTATGGTATGGGAGTGGAGTACCATGGTATGGTATAAGGGTGCAATACCATGGTATGGTATGGGGTGTTGTAAGCAAATCTCTGTATGGTATGGTATGATTCCATTCCCATGGAATGATCCCAATGGAATGATTCCATTCCATGGTATGATCCCATTCCCATGGTATGGTATGATTCCATGCTCATGGTATGATTCCATTTCCATGGTATGGTATGATTCCATGCTCATGGTATGATTCCATTTCCATGGTATGGTATGATTCCACCCCCATGGTATGATTTCATACTCATGGTATGATTCCATGCCCATGGTATGGTATGGTTCCATACTCATGGTATGATTCCATCTCTATTGTATGATTCTGAAGACATGTGGGATAAGGAATTGGCAATCTGTTCCAAGAGCATCTCCCAAGTTGCTCCCTCATAGGTGAATGTCCATAGCATTTGTTCATATTGCTGTCAATGTCATGGACTTCTTCACCATCCCTGATTAATTGTATGAAAGACAGAATTTTGATTTAATTTAGAATAGCTATATTTAATAATGATACCTTGAAGCTTGTAATTAGAAGTCTTGGCCTGCTTGTGTTCAAATGTTCAAATCAAAATTCCCCACAATGCCAGCTCTGCTGAGTGGCAGATATGAGGAGATTCCAAATCCAAGTTTTTTGATGATCCCATTCCTATGGAATGACCCCATACTTTTTCATAAATGGCAAATTTTGAACATATTCTATCTGAAGAAGGCATCCTTGCCTTGGGTAGTAATTTGGCTAAAGTTCATGCCTTTGCAATAAATAAAGTCTTGCAAAATTCTTGTTTTCCTTCAGAGGCCATGCCATTGTGATGGATACAACATTAATTTAT